AGCCTTAGTTCTTCCCGTGGCTACTGCTACAGTTGAGAGATCATTTTCTGCGCTAACTTACGTAAAAAACATCTGGACAATCGAATTGGAGATCAATGATTGAACGATAGTTTGATTATTGAGAAAGACGTATTTGACGAGATGGGAAATGATGTAATTATGGAATGTTATCAAATTATGAAAACACGTAGAGAACAATTGTGATAAAACATCTCTTAGTTTAATTTTTTCATCACTTTTTGAAATTGTAATTGTTCCCCCCCAACGTTTTTCGTCTGCGTCCACCCCTGATCAAATCTAAAGAAAACGTAGCTAAATCCCATACATGGAAAGAGGCCTTTGAAGTACTTGTAATAAGCTAGAATTCTAATGGCACATTGAAAAGATGACTCCAAATCCCTATGGTGGATGCCACCCCTTCTATTACTAACCCGAAAAACCCTCCTGTAACGCTCTCGACCGATGTACAGTTCAGTTATAAGAGTAAAGCCCATGTCCACCTCTATATACCAGTCAACCCCCCCAAAGACACCAAGCTGCCACTCATTATCTACTTACATGGAGGTGATTTTGTGTTGTTTAGTGCATTGACTGTCATTTTTCAGAACTTTTGTAATAATATCGCCTCATAGTTCCCCGCGGTGGTGGTATCTGTCGAGTGCTGGCTGGCCCCCCGAAAACTGCCTTTCAACAGCTTCTGATGATGCCATGAATGCCATCTTTTGGATTAAGAACTAGACTACACTGAATTTTCGAGAGTTTTTCTATTGGGCAATAGTGCTGGTGGGAACATAGTTTACCACACGGTCCTACGTGCACTAGATTTAGATTTTCGACCAATAAAAATTTGTGGAATTCTATTAAATCAACCTTTCTTTGGTGGAGTTCTTAGGACTCAATTAGAGATTAGACTTATGGAGAATCCTTATGTTCCTTTGTACATGTGTGATGTGTTGTGGACATTAGCATTGCCATCGTACGCTAATCAAGATCACGAATTTTGTAACCCCATATCTGGTGGATCTTACCGTGGAAGGTTCCACGTCTACCAAGGGTCTTTGTAAAAGCTGACGAAGGTGACCCCTTGGTCGACTGAACAACCCAGTAAGTACACTTGTCATGAGATACATAGTACCTGTGGTCTATCAATATAATCGTGGTGGTTTTCATGATATCAAGCTTCAAAACAAGACTGCTGCTCAAAGTTTGTACGACGATATGAAGCGTTTTGTCTACTCTACTAGGGTATTGAAGATGAAGAATCTTAGAGGTGTCAATTTGGGTGGTTCGAGCCGGGTTGGCCCGCAAACATATGTGCCCGCTAACGGTCCGCGTGAAAAAAGCCCGCCCGCTATGGGTTTCGGGCCGGGCCACAAATTTCAGGGTGGTCCGAGCCGGGTCGCGGTTTGTTCCGATTTGACCCCTATTATTGTATAA